TATCCTGACACAACGCCATCGACAAGCTCGCCCGAATGTGGTACCGATATCATGTCCGCAGACCCTTGTTTTGGTGGAGAAATGTTGTTTTACAGATGAGTCCAGGTTTAACATTTCCCATAGTGATGGACGTCAACGTGCCTATAGACGCGTGGGAGAACGTTATGCACAGGCCTGTGTCTTGGAGAGGAATCGCTTTGTTGGTGGTTCTGTGATGATTTGGGGTGGAATAACAGCATGCCAAAGAACTCCTTTGGTGATTGTTCAGGGAAACTTAACTGGTGTGGGCTACAGGGATCAGATTCTTTGACCTGTGGCAATTCCTTTTCTGCAACGTCATGGCCCTGGGTTAACATTCCAACAGGACAATGCCCGCCCTCATACGGCAAGGGTTGCTATGGATTTCTTGCAACACTACAACGTTGACTTACTGCCTTGGCCTGCAAATTCACCGGATCTCTTCCCGATAGAGCATGTTTGGGACGAGATGGATCGGCGCTCACGCCGCGTCTTCCTCATCCGCCAGATAACGTCCTTGACCTTGCAACAGAACTTGAGAGAATCTGGCGTGACATCCCACAAGCCTTCCTTGCACGTTTGATAGGCTCTATGCGTCGTCGATGCACTGCTGTTCTCAATGCCGATGGTGGACATACCCGTTATTGAGCTTGTGACATGGTCGTTTGACCCCTGTCCCGCTTGTGGACTCGTGACGTCATTGTGATTGACATTTCAATTGAAAAACTCCCGACTTGTTATGGTCTCATGATCCCTCCATTAAAGTTTATATGTACCTTTGACATTGATTTTCGTACTTATCAACTGGGATGATATTTTGACAATGCATAGTTTCTTTATGTGCCTAGTATATATTGATAGCCTGTTTAGTAATATTTTGTGCCTACATCAATTGCATAACACCGTCCCTGAGCAGAAACTCTAACACCCTTGTGACAGGTTTAACGAGAGTATGTATTGCCTTACTACATCCTGGCAGGAGATCAATTTTATGATAAGCCTTAACAGTCAGTCAATGGGCCTGTTACAATTTTTTTATAATCCATGTAATGTAGCTTTATGTAATTTGTATTTATTCAAAACGTGACTGGAATAAAATGAATATAGTTGCGCTTTGGGGGATAACAACTAAAATATGTACTTAAAACACTGTTTTTAAACAAGATAATCATAAATGATGTAATAAAGTACTTTTTAACATCAAATCAAAAGAATATAATAAATGCAATTGTATGTACATCTTGGCTTGGACCTTTATCATACTTTAACTGCTGCTAAAACTGCATCATATGTTAAGTTGTCTTCCAACTTCCAACTGAATCCAAGTGGGAGTGCAACAGTTCATGATGGAAAAAGTGAAATGGGCCGTGGTGAAAGTGAAATGGGCCGTGAAAAAATGTCAAAAGGGCCTTATTCTTAGTCATATGGGCCGAACAAATATTTTTTTACAAATGTTTTCATTTTTTATTGACATATATAGCATTAAAACATAAATCATGACAATAATAAAATGGTAATTGCCAAGCATGTCTTTGCATTTAATGGCAGTTAGTTATTTGCTTTATTTAGTAGTACACTTATTAAGAGTGATTGAGTTTAGTTTAACACCGCTTTTAGCAATATTCAAGCAATATCACGGCAAGGGACACCACAAATGGGCTTCACACACTGTACCAATGTGGAGAATTGAACCTGGGTCTTCAGCGTGACGAGCGAATGCTTTAAGCACTAGGCTACCCCACCGCCCCCACTTATCAAGAAATGAGGGGGAACAAAAAAAAGAAAATGGCAGTACATATAGTTCATAATTCAAAGTTCTTAAGCACTAAAGTATCAGAGCCACTTAGGTTCTGGGTGAATGAAAGACCTCATTCCAGTCTTTGCATTTGATATCAATTGAAGTGAGTTCATTAGTTAAGACACTGAGTTGAGATACTTTACAATAAAAACATTCGACTTAGAGGTTTTAATTAGATTTGGATTAAAAACTTACAACAACAACAAACATCCTATACAGATTAGTCATGACACTGAGTCAAGACACTTAACAATGAAAACATTTGAGTCACATGTTCAAATGCCATTTAAAATAACAACAAACTAAACACTATTTACACTATTATATTATGTAATTTATTAAAGTGTTATTTTTCTGCCCTTTTTGGACTTTTATCCCCATAGCAACGCTTTTATGGGGTATTAAAATGGACTCCGATCTCATAGTCAGTCCGTCCGTCCGTGCACATTTGTCTTTTCCGGAGCAGAACTCTAAAACCGTTCAATATTTCTTCACCAAACTTGGCACATACATGGATCTGGTGGTGTACTGGTGCCTTTTGGTAGTTTTGGAATTCTGAATTAAATATTTTTGGCGTTTCCATGGCAACAAGTTCAACTTTGACTGAAATTGGTGGTAGTGCTCTTTTCCGGAGCAGAACTCCAAAACTGTTCTATGTTTCTTCACCAAACTTGGCACATAGATAGATCTGGTGGTGTACTGGTGCCTTTTGGTTCTTTTGGAATTCTGAATAAAATATTTTTGGCGTTTCCATGGCAACAAGTTTGACTTAGCCTGAAATTGTGGTATTGCTCTTTTCCGGAGCAGAACTCTAAAACTGTTCACTATTTCTTCACCAAACTTGGCACATAGATAGATCTGGTGGTGTACTGGTGCCTTTTGGTAGTTTGGGAATTCTGAATAATATATTTTTGGCATTTCCATGGCAACAAGTTTGACTTAGCCTGAAATTGTAGTAGTGCTCTTTTCCGGAGCAGAACTCTAAAACTGTTCAATGTTTCTTCACCAAACTTGGCACATAGATTGGCCTGGTGGTGTACTGGTGCCTTTTGGTAGTTTTGGAATTCTGAATAAAATATTTTTGGCGTTTCCATGGCAACAAGTTTGACTTAGCCTGAAATTGTGGTATTGCTCTTTTCCGGAGCAGAACTCTAAAACTGGCAGTTAGTTATTTGCTTTATTTAGTAGTACACTTATTAAGAGTGATTGAGTTTAGTTTAACACCGCTTTTAGCAATATTCAAGCAATATCACGGCAAGGGACACCACAAATGGGCTTCACACACTGTACCAATGTGGAGAATTGAACCTGGGTCTTCAGCGTGATGAGCGAATGCTTTAAGCACTAGGCTACCCCACCGCCCCCACTTATCAAGAAATGAGGGGGAACAAAAAAAAGAAAATGGCAGTACATATAGTTCATAATTCAAAGTTCTTAAGCACTAAAGTATCAGAGCCACTTAGGTTCTGGGTGAATGAAAAGACCTCATTCCAGTCTTTGCATTTGATATCAATTGAAGTGAGTTCATTAGTTAAGACACTGAGTTGAGATACTTTACAATAAAAACATTCGACTTAGAGGTTTTAATTAGATTTGGATTAAAAACTTACAACAACAACAAACATCCTATACAGATTAGTCATGACACTGAGTCAAGACACTTAACAATGAAAACATTTGAGTCACATGTTCAAATGCCATTTAAAATAACAACAAACTAAACACTATTTACACTATTATATTATGTAATTTATTAAAGTGTTATTTTTCTGCCCTTTTTTTGGACTGTTTATCCCCCGCAACGCGTTTTGTGGGGGGTATTAAAATGGACTCCGTCCGTCAGTCCGTCCGTCCGTGCACATTTGTCTTTTCCGGAGCAGAACTCTAAAACCGTTCAATATTTCTTCACCAAACTTGGCACATACATGGATCTGGTGGTGTACTGGTGCCTTTTGGTAGTTTTGGAATTCTGAATTAAATATTTTTGGCGTTTCCATGGCAACAAGTTCAACTTTGACTGAAATTGGTGGTAGTGCTCTTTTCCGGAGCAGAACTCTAAAACTGTTCTATGTTTCTTCACCAAACTTGGCACATAGATAGATCTGGTGGTGTACTGGTGCCTTTTGGTAGTTTTGGAATTCTGAATAAAATATTTTTGGCGTTTCCATGGCAACAAGTTTGACTTAGCCTGAAATTGTGGTATTGCTCTTTTCCGGAGCAGAACTCTAAAACTGTTCACTATTTCTTCACCAAACTTGGCACATAGATAGATCTGGTGGTGTACTGGTGCCTTTTGGTAGTTTGGGAATTCTGAATAATATATTTTTGGCATTTCCATGGCAACAAGTTTGACTTAGCCTGAAATTGTAGTAGTGCTCTTTTCCGGAGCAGAACTCTAAAACTGTTCAATGTTTCTTCACCAAACTTGGCACATAGATTGGCCTGGTGGTGTACTGGTGCCTTTTGGTAGTTTTGGAATTCTGAATAAAATATTTTTGGCGTTTCCATGGCAACAAGTTTGACTTAGCCTGAAATTGTGGTATTGCTCTTTTCCGGAGCAGAACTCTAAAACTGTTCACTATTTCTTCACCAAACTTGGCACATAGATAGATCTGGTGGTGTACTGGTGCCTTTTGGTAGTTTGGGAATTCTGAATAAAATATTTTTGGCATTTCCATGGCAACAAGTTTGACTTAGCCTGAAATTGTAGTAGTGCTCTTTTCTGGAGCAGAACTCTAAAACTGTTAAATGTTTCTTCACCAAACTTGGCACATAGATTGGTCTGGTGGTGTACTGGTGCCTTTTGGTAGTTTTGGAATTCTGAATAAAATATTTTTGGCATTTCCATGGCAACAAGTTTGACTGAAATTGGTCATAGTGCTGCTTTCTGGAGCAGAACTTTAAAAACCTTTCAATACTCTCCTTCCACTTTTCTATATACACACCTAAATATTTGACATAATCATAACTCGTAGACATAATCATGAAGAGTATTTTGCCATTGCGGGGGATATTGATGACTTTGTCTTCTTGTTTACTTTTGATTTCGGTCCATTTGTCCTTCGGCAGGTTCAAAATTAAGTAATTATTTTAAAAGGATCCTTAGTAGTTTGTGTGATGACTTTGAAAAAGGAATGTAAATCATGACTGATGAGCCATTAACACTTTTTACTTTGTGTTGCAGATACCTACAGATTGAATTGCGACTCGTGACTTTTGAAAAGTTAAAGCATCACCCAGGCCATGTGAATGTTCTTGTCCACTCCCACTTGCCAGTGTTTGGTCTGGTACAGCTTTTGGTGCATCTCACAAGTGTCCAGTCTACAAAAGTATCTGTCTTCCGGGACAAAACTCGTACAAAGGATGTACGACTGCCACCCAATTTTAGACTGGAGGACTGTGGCTATGTAGGAAACAGCAAGGACAACCCTCAAGAGATAGTGCTGTATTATGACTACACTGTTGAATTCACAGACTGTCCAATACTTGTCTGTGATCACTACTTTTGACACATAAGACCTCCACTGAAATATGAAAAAGGCTGAATTTATAATGCATCCTGTTGTGTAAAGAATGTGTAAGCTTATGGTATGGAATCCTATGTGGGACCTTGTCATGCTGTAGCCTAAAAAAACAAAACAAGCAAAAAGTGTCATAATTAACCAAATACAACAATGTAAGAATGCGACAAAACCACATTTTGACCATTTGTCTCATCGTCGCCATGTTGTATTGAGGAATATTTCAAATTCTACAAAAAGGCAACATTTTTAAACTTACCCTATATCACGTCTTGTACTCTCTCTTTAATTCGATTGAGCAGAAACGAAACTGTAAATAATCCTAGGCCTCTCTGTTCCATTCGCCCCTGCATGCCATGCTGCTCCCCTTATAAGACAGCCTCTGTGTCTCCTGTGAAGTATGCAGCATGCTCCACGTCTGACCCACATTCATCTTGTGTGGATTGTATTGGTTTGTGTTCATGGGACCATAGATGTGAGCAGTGCAAACCTCTGGATGACGACACCTTTACCGACTACAGGAGGGTAGGTACATGCTGCCACGCTGATAGGGACTCGTGTAAGCAGTCCGAGGAGTTTGGTCTTTCGTCCGCCAAGAAGTCAAAGAAAGATCATCACATCAAGATTGCTCATCGTTCTGTCACACCCACATGGCGTGACTTTTCAGAGGTTTCATCAGGTTCTTACCTCTCGGAGAACCTTCATTGTGTGCTTGGCCCATCAGGTGAACATTCACCCCGTTGATCCTCCCCTTCACGGGTCATCGTCATGGACCATTCGGCAAATCCTAAGGAATCTTCTACGTCGTAAGATCTTCATACCACTTTGTCCATGTGCCCATTCTTGTCACTGTCTGGTTTGCTGAACCTACCCCGGAGAGTGCCCTTTCGTCAGCCTGAGCAGTACTTTCAGCGGAAATCAACCTGGGCAGGCTTTGGATTTGCCTCCTCTCCATTCGCCCCTTAGATCAGTGCCTGAGTCACGGCCCGACATCTCTGCAGGATTAGTACTAAGGATGTCAGTACAGTGAACCCCCGACTTCATCACCTGCTTTGGCCAGTATTTCGCACCATCCTCCTTCCCAGGATCGCTCTCATTCTTCGGATCAGCAACGTCCTGCAAATCAGTCTACGTTGTCTCACGCGCGCTCCTGGGATTGTTTGCATTTGACGAATCGACAGCTTTCAGTGAATCAGCAGCATTCACCGAACCCTTACCCTTCGGCAGATAACTTATGTTCATCGCATCATCCTACTGCTACAGTCAGTCGCCCTGATCCGTGCCCGTCTTTGTCTATGGACATCAGATCATCAGTCATCACTAACCTCTCTATGGTGCCTCACTCTTCGTCGGATCTTGTGGACCCTCAAGCACCTCTGGTTAGGTCGTCCATCCTCCACGAGTCTTGGGATCATCACAGGACACTTCAGCTAGACAAGTTTGCGACTTTGATATGATGGTGTGGGCCATCTCTGCAGCCTGGACTGTGGATGAAGATATTGCCACCTTGGGTCTGAAGCGAAACAACTCACCATTTTTTAGTAATTGGTTGAGGATTGCGAATTGACCCACTTAGAGACTGCAATTCATCTCACCTTACCGGCTATCCATTGCATCCTGTCTGTGGTGGATGTCGGCGGCTGATGCTGTTGAACACTCTCCTGGACCAGATGTCGCACTTCTTTGTCTACATACTAGCAGTCAGATGCAGGGGCCCTCTCTGCCATGCTTCCTATGATGACCGTTATTGCATGGAACTGTTCCGTCAAGCCTGGTTGACAGCCAGATCCATCAGGTATCCTTCAAGGTGGACCAGGAAAAGTTTCAAGTTTTGGTTGACTTGATGAAACTGCAGAAAACACACCTTCAAGAGGCCCTCAAGCATCATTGTATGGTCCAGTTTTTGCCAGCTAACCCAAAGTTATGAGAGATTTTTCGATCCAGTTGTCCCGATCTTGGACACCCCAGTAGGCAGAAGATTGGGACTCTTTGCTCCCAACTGGACAATCTTAGACTTCCCATTTGAGCTATCGACACTGTGTCAGGGATACAAGATGACCCTCGTTGGATCGCCACCATTGACCTACAAACTTATCTAATGAATCAACTACCGATTCTCCGAACCACCACTGGTATGTTGCTAGAGAAACATGTGGTAGTGCCTCTCAGTCCAGCACCCGTAGTCTTTTACTCCCTATCTTTCTGGTTCCAAAGAAAGTTTCCGACAAGCTCCGCCTCATCTTCAATATGAAGCTGTTCAACATCCATCACATGTTTCCTCCATTGCCAGGGGATCACGATCAAATGCTACATAGATGACTGCATTCAGGCTGAGCAGGACCAATCTATTCTACTTCGTCACCTTCTGTTCAGCACCAAATTGCTGTGGCAGTTAGGGTGGCTGATCAATGAAAAGAAGTCAGAGTTAATACCAACCCAGAGGCTTCAATTCATTGGGGCTATCTTCGACACGCATCTGGGGATGATGTTTGTTCTCCAGACATGTGTCTCAAAGTTCAGCGTTGGGTCCCTCTGACGCTGTCTCAGGAAATAACTCCTCACCAGTGGTAGGAATTATTGGGTCTCCTCACGTCAGCAAAGCCCTCACCTACAGGGGTCAACTCCAGCTTCAACCCATTCAGAGATTCCTTCGTCCGTATCTGAAAGTCGGTGACCCCAAGGTGCTGATTCAACTTCTCCTACCGCTTCATCCATTCCCTCAGTGGAGGCTTGATGAATAGAACGTTTGCTGAAGAGTCTGTTTAACGCCATTCATTCCCACTCATCACCTGTTCGTAGACACCTCCCTCTACTCAATCGTCAGGTGGTGGGGCAGTGGTCATCTGATGAACAGGCCCTGCACATCAACAAATCGGAGCTCAAAGCAGTCATCCTGGCAATAAACCATTGGGCACAAGAGCTTCAATCTATTGATTCAGTCAGACAACTCAACCGTGGTCTGGTACATCAACCACCTAGGGTCAAAGGGTTCGTCGCATCTCCTAGATTTGGTACATCAGTTCTTCCAACTTGTAGACTCCCTCAACATCGTAGCGATAGCCAGATTAAGATTGAGAGATCTTATTTTACTGGGGCTTTCTGTAAATCAAGGAGGCGTTCCGTCCTTTTGTCTTCATACGAAGGTTGCCGTGGAAAAGCACATTACTCGGGAGTGCCCATCTCCTTGGGAGTCTTGTGCTTAGTACACCAGGCGGTTCCATGGATTAACCCATCACAAGCATAGAAGTTATGTAATCTTTGGTTTCGTAACAAGCCTCACTTGTGCATCGCTACCTACTGTTGTCTACAGTTATTTGGCACCAGCTGTCTGCATTGTTTTTGACACAGGGTAATCTGTGCCCGCTGTCCAAGCATGGGATAAGTACAAGATGTGAGATAGGATAAGTTTAAAAAAATTGAAATTTTAACTATGAATTGTATAATTATCCTATCTCACCACGATGGATGCCCACCTGGCCTCCCTGCTACCTTGATTACGACTTTGATCCAAGAACATGATGAGAGAGTGGTGGTCACATGAGCAGGTTGTGGAGCGTGCTGCATGCTTCTCAGGAGACACAGGGGCTGTCCTATAAGGGGAGCAGCATGGAGTACAGGGGCTAATGTACAAGCGAGGCCTAGGATTGTATACAGTTTCATTTCCACTCGGTTGAATTAAAGAGAGAGAGTACAAGACTCGAGATAGGATAAGTATATAGATTAAGGGCCACTGATCCAGAGCAATTTCCGTGGACTGGTTGTTGCTTTTGTTATTGTTTTTCTCCAGTGAGTACCCAGATGATATCCCAGAATTCATGACTGGTTTGTTACCTCTGCTGCATCACCCTCATGCGCAATTGATAGTATAAGTATAGACTGATCAACAAAGATGAAATCTTTTTTCACTCGATAATCTTATGTTGATTTTGTTGTAAAATTATGTAGACTTTGATGAATCATTTGGTTTCTTATACAAAACATATTCACTTTGATAAAAATGATGATTTTGATGTAAAATTTTGATTTCATATTAATGTTGACTTTATAAAAATGTTAACGTAAATGGATGTAGAATTTGATTTAAGAAATAGCTTGACCTTGAATTTGGTGAGAAGCCTGATACAATAGCATTGTTTTGAAAGGAAGGCTAACTAAGTACATGGGGAGTCTTGGGGAGAGTAGTGAGCTTGGGTCACTACTAGTCAATCTGAATGTTGTATTAAATGGCATTATTTTGATAACAAATGAAAACATTTTAAGTTTAACCATCTGCCAGTGGTAAAAAATGTTAGGACTGAATATTTTGTCTTATAATCCTAATTAGTTCATTATCATATTTGTATGCATTTTGAAACTTAATAAAATGCACACGATCTGCTTATACTTAGTGAATTTATAACATGATTGTAATATCTAGACATTTATATTCATATTTCACACACACACCCTGAGTGCGACCTAGTGTATGTTGTCTGTCTCATTACACTTCAGGGCAAAGAGAACTATTCTGTTGAATGCCATAACAAATAAATAAACACAAGATGCAAATATTACAATTAAAACAGACTAAAGTTATAGCAACAATATCAGGCTATTACCTTGTTCGGGGAATGTATCCATCAATATCCACATAAAGGAATGAGATGCCATTCATCTGAAGCTGACAAAGTATCCTGTTCCATGTCATGTGTCTTTTAACAGTCTAATATGCGAACGAGTCATCTATCATTTCAGGTTTTTCACATTGGTCTATAGTCCCATTTGTCACCCAAGATAGCACACCTGGCAACTAATTGCATGATGTCCGCCATTCTTTAAAAAAGTAATTTAGTTAGCCAATAATGAGCAATCAATCAATGTATTGGTGGTTAATCCTTTGAAGGAAGGACGTTGTTTTTACAAAGAGACTTTACGACAGGGTGTATTCAGTATAGATTAGTAAATCTACATGCATAAAAAGGAACAATTACATGTATTGTTAGTAATTGTTAGTAAACTTACCTCTGGATTATGGTAGCCTTATTCCTG